CTCAGGTTACTCTAGTATATTGATTTAAAGGCGAGCGCCCGGACACTGGGCTATCACGGTATTGCTTTCTGGATGGTCTATAAAATTGGCTCTCACATACTGTAGCTACTTCCAATCTAATCACAATTAGTAAGCCCACCGGAAAGTTTATAACGTTAGCGAGTTTATCTCTCTTAGAATTATTACGTGTAAGATTAATTTCAGCTGAAATGTATGGAGCAATATATTTCCATGGGTACAAATACTTGGAGGTAGTTCCGTGCTATTTCATTGCTTACGCACAACCAAAACTCAAAGCTTTAAGTTCTGAAATATCACATGCTAAGCGGTAAGTGATTGTCGTAATTAATTCGTTTACAAGAAATTCCGTCATAATATTTTAAAGACTTTACAGAGTCCTTCTATGTAAAAGTACTATGCCTTACTTAATTTTGTAATATACTATTTGCAACTATCTGCAACTAAAAGTTAAAACGTAATAAACTCATTTTAGTATTACATCCTTTGAAAAATCAATGTTTAACAAATAAATGTATTTTGATTCTGCTCTTTCTATAACATATTCTATTCAGTTTCAATCATAATCGTTTTATTTTCTATATCATTCCGGGATAAAAGTAAGAATTATTCGTGTTGTGGCAAAAGGAATAAAAATGATTAAGCCATGTACTCCTAATAACTTACATGTCAATAATACATTTTAGTTTCAAGTCCATTTGGTTCAAATAAAACTACAGTAATAATAAGAGTCTGGTACTGGAGTCTGTCTGTATTTTAAACAACTATTTGCTACTACAACTGTTAAACTAATTACAACTATTCAACTAATGAAGCGAGAACTGCTATTTATATAAGGCATCGCTTATTACAAATGAATGTTTGTCGCTTTGTCCGAAATTCTGCAATATTATATTTAATTTTCCATATTTATCAGATTACTAAATCCACGGGAACAATGTCGCGGGTGTAAGCTAGTAAATAATAAGCTACTTACCTATTTTTAACTGACTTCAAAAAAGGAGGAGGTTTCTCAATTCGACCGTATATATATATATATATATATATTTATATATATATATATATATATATATATATATATATATATATATATATATATATATATATATATATATATATATATATATATTATGTCTTCGTGGATAACTTCGTCGTTTATGAACCGATTTTGATGATTCTTTTTTTGTCGGAAAGAAGATACCCCAAGGATGGTACCATGATAAGGAAACCCGGATCTGATGATGGCATCCCAGAGAAATCGAGTGCCATCATTGAATGATATATGTATTAACAATGTTTTTAATTTTCTGATTGAAGTCGGTTTTTTTTGTTAAAAAATATACTTGTATGCCTTCGATTTGTCACCTTTAAAGCATTTTAAAGAGCGAGTTGTATTAAACTTCATAAAATGTAGCACATACATAGTTTCACTGTTTGTGAACAAGTCAATGAAACAGATCGATCATCGGACGCAATACCTTGTCACCGTTTAGCGTTTGATCAATTTGATCGATGGCCTGTGACAAACACCGGAGGCTGGCGTTGACGTTAAATTGTCACATTTGGGATACGTTTCGCGCCTAGTTGAATGAATGAGCGATTTTATTTCAATTGGACTTTTTTTTTTAATAATAGCACATTGAAAGAAGAGATTCCAACGCATTAACCCAAAAAAAGCAGTTCGTTCAGGATTATTGTAAAGTTAAATTTGGGCGGAAAGTATATCAAAGCTATTTAGATTTTACGGGGTTATAGTTTCTTTTTTTTTTTTTTCAATGTTTAATTAGTTTTATATCGATGTACATACTATCTAATTTGGAAGTAACTATCCCATCACACATCTCATGTATTGAGATAAATCGCATACAGCTTCTATATTAGATTATTTATTAACTTATGTATACGTGTATGTTACAGTTATTTTTATTATATTTTCAGCAGACGATAATATAGTCTATTTGACTGCCGAGCAAGATAATGGTATAGGCAGAAAGAAGGTAATATATATGGACTTTCTGTTAAAGTTAAACTCTAGACAATGTTTGTAATACAGACATTATTTTAATTTCTTTTCTCAATCGCAAACAGAGTCCCGCTTTTAATGTCGCCGAAAATGCGCTTAATATTCATGAGCGCGTACTTTTTCAAAGTTCGATCATTACGGGCACAATGGCTAGGGGGCCCGATGTTAACAATACGAGTTCACATATGTTACACCATAACATCGGCCATGGTGACCCATTGTCCGTGCGTTTGATACGGCGTGGGCTGACGCTCCGTTTCGTAACCGCATGTGATGCGAATTCATAATGGCGCACGCATACTACCTATAATTGCTTAATAAGGATAGCTTGCGTAACACTTTTATTCTCTTTTTTTTAAACGTTGCCCTCACTTTAGGATAACATTATCCTGTGTTGTAAGGACGTTTTAAAAACATAAATTTCAGACGGACAAACACCCAGATGCGAAACAACTATCTGTGGGTCACACAAATAGTTGTCCCGTGTGGGAATCGAACACACGACCCCCGATGCTGAAGCCAATACCTTGGCAAATGCGCCACCACCACCACAGTCGTCTTGTATGTACATCGAACATATATTTACATTTATAAGGATGAAAAAGTGTGTCTTAAGTTTGAGTGGCTCATTTATAAGCCACCGCATAAACGCCCGGTTTCTGAAACACTGATCATAGTAGAAGTTAACTAAGTTTACTAATGGGTAAACTCCGAATTAATCAGAATGATCAATTCAAAGAGTTTAACCATTCTTTTGGCAGCTTAAATAACATTTGAAAAGCCATTTGACAGCTAATTAGTTAACTTCTACGTTGATCAGTGTTTCAGAAACTGGGCGTAAGTAATATAATTTAAGTAATATAATTATATCGAACTAAATATAACTCTGATGACAAAAAGTTATCATAAAGAATTACTTAAACTTGTGACATCCGGACTATTTTATTTATCTTGAAGTCAAGAAAACCAACATCAACTTACAGTACGACTTAATAAGAGTTTTGAGTTTAATACCCACAATATAAGTCATTGCATTCACTAAAAGCTTTACGATGGCAAGCGAAAGTTCTACTATATTTTTTTCAAACGACCGTTACACCTCAAACTGTTTTAATTATGGTCATCTCAAATACGGACGGATGCCACACACGTCGACTTCTCACGCTGTAGCCAAGATCGTATCTATTTGATAAACAATGAATCAAACTTGACAATGCTAGTACATTTTATTGATTGAGGCGCGAGCATTAGCTGTGGCAGTAACAATAATTCGGAGCATCTTAGGACATACCCGTTGAAGAATAATCATTCATTTTTTCTTTTGTATTTTCCTTATTTTATTTATTTTATTTTTATTGTGGCTTTATAAAATCGAGTACTTTTATAAATACCAAACGAAGGCCTTCTTAGAGTTCCGTACCCAAAAAAACGGGACCCCATTACTAAGACTACACCGTCTGTCTGTCGGTTTGTTTGTTCGTCTGTCACCAGGCTATGTAAAAACCGTGATAGTTAGACAGTTGAAATTTTCACAGATGCATTTCTGTTGCCGCTATCAACAAATACTAAAACTCGGAATCAAAAAATATATGAGCGGGGCGGGGCTCCCTTACAACAGACATGATTTTTTGCTGTTTAGATACATAACTCTTTTTGCGCGAGTCCGAATCGCACTTATCAAAAAACAAAAAGATATTGTGTTCCAAATAACCTGCAAGTTATCACTCAATCACTCAAGCTTGGCGTGAAGTGGAAGTGTTATTAAAGCTAATAAATTGTGTCATATAGATCGTAATAATAGTACGCCGAGGTTCAGGCTAGGCGCCTCGTGCGCCAGGCCACCTCAAGTCCGTCGGATCTGTGAAGGCCCCTAAGGCCAACAGTGGCTCATCCAGCCAAAAAAAAAAAAAAAGTCATATAGAGTGGTCCTTAAACTCACTGTATCCATTAATATATATTCCTACCAATATATTATGACTTTATCATAATAGGTAGATACCATGTTATGTTAAGCGAATTAGATCTACGCTTATGTAATCCTGTCCTCAGGCGGTAGTTATCTTCGTAATAGATACTTATTCGCAAGATATCCGAGAATTAGTCATCAAAAATTTTATTATTACGTAAAATGATTAACATGCGATGTTATATTGTAACACTTCTATTCAACGGAAATATATTCACAATAAAGTACTATTAACTTTACTGGCGTTGACGTTAAATTGTCACATTTGGGATACATTTCGCGCCTGGTTGTATGAGTGAATGATTTTACTCCAATTAAACTTTTTTTAATAATAGCCAAAGCAATGAAATAAAAATAAATAAGCTAAGATAATTAAATATAAATTTAATGACAAGAGAGCCGGTTCTTCGCTCGAAAGTTAAGCATAAATATTCAGCGAGGAAATGCAGCTAGCGTTCTTGGCACCATGCCGCATGGATTAGGTTTATTAGATATTATGTAATTTTAGATAGATTTAATCTTGTAAATATTATGAAATTAAAGATATTTATTACAAAAAAATAAAAAAGTGATATTTAATTAAGAAATATCCAGAGACAAGACAATAAAGACATGGTCACTGCGGATCCTTAAGAGGAAATGAAAACTTAACGGCATTCCCCGGGTCTGCTTGAAGATATATGATATATTGTTCGTTCATATTTATTTTATATTTCCATTATAGAAACTAACTTAATTACACTCAATTAACAAATAATTTAATCACAGTTTTGGTGACTGTAGAAGTAAATAATGATAATTTAAACTATAAATTTCATTATGACATGAAGAGAATAATTTCCAACTTGAAGTGGAAGGTTAATACTTTCACGTTTCGTCTGGTGAGTGAAGTAATCACTGAACATCAGGTGAACAGACTACTCGCTTGGCAACTTTTACAAAAAAAAAGATATTATTTGCCTTATCGAGGTAACAAACAAATGGACCAAACGCATGCGATTGCATCTAAGTAAGAAAATTAACGACCACACACTTGCAGTCCTCAAAAATTGTTCAAAACTTTATGTCGTTGTAATAGTTCAAAATGGGTGCGCATTAAAAATGTCCCGATTTATTTACGAGTCGTATTCGAACGAACGAACGTTTTATTGTCTAAGCCAGTGGTTCCAAAACCTTTGACGATGCGGAGGTTTACATACCCAGTAATTTGAGGAGTCTTAATAATGTCCAGAGTATCCAATACCAGTCTTAATGTGACTCCTGACTAAAACTTAGAAGTCCACAGGCTCTGATCAATCTTTGGTGGAACCCTTGTGTTATTTGGATCCCACTTTGGGAACCACTGATGTTAGCGCCAAGTCTGATTAAACGACGGATATTGACCGCCGACCAAGCAGTTTACTGTCGCCTTTTGATCCCATTTTTTTATTTATCCTTCGACTGTTTGAGTTATCGGATGTTAGTTATTTATGCTATGGATCCGTTTTCAAGACTTTTATGAATCGAAGCAAAGATAAAATAATAGTTATTGCTTAATGAAACTGCTCTACATATAGGAACGCTTTTTTCACTCATAAACTTTTATTTACGGTGGTAGGGCCACGCAGCAGCGTCGGCTGTTGCACGAATGGGCAGGCCCGTCCCGAAGTATGACAAATACTTTCGCGTTTCGTGTGGTGAGTGAGGTAGCGGGAGCCCAATTTCCAAAAAGGTTGTCCACGCATCTGTAACCCTCGGGTGTGGCAGATGTCCATGGGTGGCGTTATTCACTTAACATCAGGTGAACCGTCTGCTCGTTTGACAACTTTTCGGATAAAAAAAAAACTGTTTCTGGAATGGTTGATTGACGGAATGAGGGCTTGATTGGATGCAGAATAAATAGTACTGTTTACTGAATGGGCACCGTATCCCGACATCTTATTCCTCATTTCAGCCTGTTTGAGTCCACTGCTAAACATGGGCTTCCCATACAAACTACCGCGAAGTGACGATCCTGAGCCACCTGCAACAATCGACTTCCCGCACATTTGCACAGGTCGTCACGCCATCTTGTAGGGGGACGTCCTACATTGCGATGGCCAGTACAAGGCTGCTATTCAAAAACCTTTCTTCTCCATCGGTTCTATATGACCTATATGACGGGGCCATTGTCACTACAGCTTACTAATCCTCTGAGCTATATTTTTGAAGTCCATTCCACAGCTCTCGCGACTTTGATAACCGAAAGCAGTACTTGTTTTAATGTGAGAAAGAGGCATTAAAAAAGGTTAAATGCGATTCGCCGACATAATTAATTAACCTTTCTTAAATAATCATCTCTTCTTCGTTTCTTCTCCGTTAGAGAAAACATGAAACTTAACGGTTATAGATTTAAAAAATGACTAACGATAGATGAAATTGTCATTTCATATTTCGATAATAACTAATATCGTAGGAATTAAAAAAAAAACTCAAACAAAGTATCGTACCAAAAAACAAAGGTATCCAAGCCAACAGTGTATGCAGTGTCTGTCTATAATTGAAATTGCATGTTGTTCTTTACCTGAGTCTGTGTTCATCTTGTATGGTATTTCTAAAAACCGTAGATAGACCTTAATAAATAAATAGACACGTTAGATACACCACTCGCATACCACGATAAACAATAACAATTTTCATGGGTTAATTTTAGTTAAGCGTGGCGCAGCGTCAATTTGTACTTATTAGGCCTTGCGAGCCGTAGAATTAAAGCCCGATCCTAAGCGTCCGTAGGTTATCTGGGCCCCTTGCGCTGTTAGGACCTGCTCGTAAATCGGAGCCGTACGCGTGTCGCAACCCGGGTGGTCCCAACCCCCCCTCCCCCTTAATTCAGCTGATGATACCGTCGACGGTCGATGTAATAAGTCTCATCGCGTAAACGACGGCATACGCAACTATTTATTACGTTACATGCCATGAACCTAAAAGTATTTCATATTTAATACAGTAGACAATGGAGGCCTTTGCCCAGCAGTGGGACATGTATAGGCTGTTACTTTTTTACTTTTAGACAGTAATATTGCCACCTCGAGCTCAGATGACATGGAGCTTTGCAATATCCCATTTCAGCTCCACCTTCGAATGGACAAATAAAAGGGCCCTATTATCCGAAGATCGATATCCGAACGGCATCCGATCGGAGTTACGAGCGTGCGATATCCAAACCATCGGCCGCCGTATTTCGCGTCGACATCGCGCTCTCAGAATACCGGCCCGGCATAGCGGTATCGTTCATCTGCGGCGTTTTCGTGGCGGCGCGGGCGTCGCGGAATCCCGAAATGCCGGTGCCAAAAGGGTCCAGGTTGCCCTGACATTTGTCAGAATGCCGTACTTGGAACGGAGTGAAAGCCTGCACATGTCTTTGGTGTGTGTGCAGAGGCAATCAGAGCATGACTGGAGCGGCCTGGCGTATGATAGAGGATTCAAATTCAAATATCTTTATCAATATAGAAGCATTATACTTACTTCTTGAATTAATATTACTACCAGTTCGGAAAAGAAAAGCCTGAGAAGAACCGGCGAAAGAAACTCAGTGGGCCAGCTTCTAACACAGACAATAATAGAAATTTTTGCACAAGCAAAATAGGAATTACAAAAAATGAAAAATGCCTGAGTAAAATAATTTAAAAGGCCTGCTAAGTACCCAGAGTTTATGCAGGTTTCCTCACAATGTTTTCTTTCTCAACTGAACACGTGATAAGTCAGCGCAACAATGTCAGTGGTGCTAGCACCGGAACTCGAACTTAGGTAATGCAAATTCTTGGCATAGGCTTACTAGACGAAGTAGGATAGAATGGTGACCAAGATTGGTTCCGTGTACATTGGGCTGGAACAATTGAATTGGGTACTAACGAGAGGAATTTTTAAACATACTTGACTCAACATTTATGGTTATGGTCCGATCAATAAGTTCATATAGTTTTCCTATGTCAGTAAAAGTCTTCACAAAAGACAGCCTAAGTAAAAAAAAGTAAAGTAACAGCCTATACATGCCCCACTGCTGGGCAAAGGCCTCCTCTATACAGAGAGTATCAGGGCATAGTCCACCACGCGGCCCCACTGCGGATTGGCGGACTTCACATGTATATATTTTTTGTTATTATTTCGAAAATATGCAGGTTTCATGACGATGTTTTCCTTCACCGCGGAGCACGTGATAAATCAGCACTTAAAGTTAAAAACTTCATTGCAGCCGGCACCGAGGATCGAACTCAGGCTGCTCGAGTATATTGAATTAAAGGCGAGCGCCCGGACACTGAGCTATCACGGCTCATGCCTATGCATGTCCTACTGCTGAGCAAAGACTTCCTCTATACAGAGGGTATGAGAGCATAGTCCAAATATTGTTTTGGTTTCGTCTGCCTAGTGAGTGAGTTTAATTTAAATGTTTTAGTCGATTACGTGCATCTTTTCAGATGGCTATCTCCACTTGATTAACCACTTTTTATATTAAAGATCATTTAAAATCGTATTTATCTTAGCTTTGAAAACACAAAAGAATTGTTTTAAAAAACACACCTAGCTAGTAGTTCCGTCTGCTGCAGACACATAGACTTCGCACTCTTCCGGGAAAGGGGGTACTTTCCCGGAAGAGTCAAAGTAGGGAAAGTACCCCCTCTTCACAGTTTTTCAATACAGACTGGCCTGAAGTAAAAGAACTCTGCTTTTTTTATGCGAAAAGTTACCAAGCGAGCAGACGGTTCACCTGATGTTAAGTGAATACCGCCGATCATAGACATCTGCTACACTCGAGGGTTCCAGATGTGTTGACAGCCTTTTGGAAATTGGGCTCCGACCAGCACACTCACCAGACGAAACGCGAAAGTATTATACTTCCACTTTACGCTGGTCTTCTGTGAGGTCGTGGTACTTACCCGGACGAGCCTGCCCATTCGTACAACAGCCGAGGCTGCTGCGTGGCCCTACCACCGTAATTACGCCCGTGCTTTCACGTTTCATCTGCTGAGGTTGCCGGAGATCATATTTTTTAAAAGCTGACAACGCATCTGCTATCCGTCGAAAGTTATAAATATCGATGGGTGTCGGTAATCACTTAATATCAGATGAACCGCTTTATCACTTGCCAAATGCTTCACATAAAGAAACAAAGAAATCAGAAATTGGAATAACGCATTCACTCTAAACATAGATAAATGATTACGAATTGCAAGTCTAAGCCTACTAATTAATCTCTTAGAACCTAAGAATTCTAAATTATATTTCATGCCTTACGTTCCAAGATAATTACGATTACTCTGTAAAGTTTTTTTATTATGCATTAAGAGAAATAATTCGAAAAACATTCATACTGGTGCTCGTTTGCACTTTAAACTTAACGCCACTTCACTACGACACGTTGAGCACATAGCCAGTTCGTTGCGGCAGCTCTCCGACAGATGTCACCTATTTCGCAATCGGAATAAATTATTCAATATAAATAACATCAGGATGTTTACAATGATAGCATTAAATTAAAATACAACTCGACTCCAGGACGTGTTGCACTCATAGATTAATAACCACTTAGCCGTTATTAATTTCTTAAATATATATGTATTTACGTGGCCTGTTATTGATTATGTTGATGTCTGACCTCATCGCGTGTTGCGTATCATAACACTTTGAACTGAACCAAATGTTAAGTCTTGTCTTCTTGCATTGCAATCTCTATAATGTCTAGCAGATTATTTTAGCAACATCGAATTCTCCAATTTTCAAGAAGAGGTTCGTGAAGTGAGATCTAAATAAGTTATAAGTGGCCGCTTTACCAAGTTTAGAAATTGCGCATTATATCAAACACCAATATATTTATACAATAAGGTTGAAAATTTTATACGATGAGACGTCATCGAGAAAGGTGATTACGTCATAAATATAAGAAGAAAAACAATGATAAATCGATACGATGGCGTCATAACATAAGATACACAATTGATAATTTTTTGTTTTGTTGTGAAACATGACAGTTTTGGACATTATTGCCGTGTATTATTAAAGGTATCCTGATGAAATGTTTCTGTTAGATCTCGCGGTAGTGGAGGCTGGAGTTGGTTTGGTTTAAAACTCTGTATGTATTTTATGCATACCTTGGAAAAAAGATAGTTTTGAGGAGGTTAAATACGAAACAAAGGACGCGCCAAAAATCATGTGAACATTATCAAAATTGGTCTCTTAACTGCATAATGACACAATTTTTCTATTCTTACCTTCATTAAATGACATAGAGAATTCGCACCCTGCGTAGAATAACGTAACATCTGCAAAATTGTAAATGTTCAGGACGGCCGGTTAAAATCTTAATTTTTTTAATTTTGTTTATAGTTTTTTTATACATAGCAATTGCTATTCCAATTTTTGAGTTTTGTAATATGATTAGGTATATAAATAAACAGTATACTTTTTGGATGAATAAGTATATAAATTTAGGAAATAAGAGGTTCCATGTGTAATAATGACTTTTTCGTACGGAAAATGGCAAAAAATTATGGGTCGTACATTTATATATAACGTTGTTCAATGGAACATTCCAAAAAATAATAGGTCATATGTTCATATATAACGTTGTTCTACAAAAAACTCATAAAATATGTATGACATAAACGCATGTAGCACTATTTTGTACGAAAAAAAAGGGGGTTATAATGAACAAAGAGTACGTATCTTATGAGTAAACCTGGTAAAAAGATTGTTAAACTACTTAAAAAAAATTGTATTTTTCTAAAATAACTTTTATTTGTTGTAATAGTACACTTAACATAAACCGCAGGTGTTCTTAATCATCATCATCATTTCAGCCTGTTTGAGTCCACTGCTGAACATAGGCCTCCCCCATAGTTCTTAATATTCTTACTTATTTAATCAGTCAAAATTATAAAAAAAATTACCTATATAATTAATAGGTATAAGTATAAGAAATAAAGTTACAAGATTAAGAATATTGTTTGATTTTTACACGAGATCAAAATTATTATTTCAATAATTATCAATTGACTGTAATAGAGTATTTTACACTCGTCTCTTACATTTATAAGCCTAGTCAGTCAAAATTATTAGAATCACAGCACACAAATTAACTTTATTAAAACTGCCTTATAACGTAATACAGTCATAATATCGATATATTTATTTATTTATTTATTTATTTATTTAGGCTTACCAACTAAATACATACAGAACAATATTAATAAAGATTTACAGGTACCAACGGAATTATACTATATATGTATTTAACTTAAAGGTATGCACAACATTTCCATATGAAACTTAAAATTAACAAATGATGAAATATAATTGAAACAAAAAAAAACTACACTATTCTATGCAATACAATTAATTTTAGTTGAGAGCTTAACATTTTATAATTTAAGGTTTTTATCTCTAGTTTGAATATAATATTGATATAATTTCTTTTTTAAGGAACCCAGACTATCGCTAAAGAGATCTATATTACATTTATCGAAAATGTCGTTGTACTTTCTCATCATAAAACATACAGGAGAGTTGCTACCATACTTATTGCTATTAAAATTTACACTGAAGGGATGAAAATTACACAACCTTGCTGAAACTCTGGGCACCTTCAAGTTAATTTGTGATAGGAGGAAAGGACAATCCACTTCATTATTAAGAAGTTTATGTAAGAAAGTTATAGACAGCAGATTCCTACGCTGCTCCAATGATAACAATTTAAAATGAGCCAATCTTTCCGAGTATCCGTGAATTGTACGATGAACGCCACTTACATAAGATATTTTATTTAAAAATAGTTTTTGAATTCTTTCTATTCGCTGAATATTATTTTGATAAGATGGGTACCATACGACAGAACAATAATCCACATGACTACGAACCAATGCAAAATACAGAGTTTTTAACGCTAAAACCGACTTGAAATCTTTGGTATGTCTGAAAACAAAAGCTAACATTCTTAATGATTTGTTTATGGTCTTGTTAATGTGGTTGGTGAATCGCATCTGAGAGTCAATAGTAATGCCTAAATCCTTCACTTCATCTACTTTCGCTAAACCCACTCCATTAATATTGTAAGTGCTATCATATTTGTTAAATTTTCGAGAGAATTTAATGTGATAACATTTATTTGTATTGAGAGACATTTTATTCTGCCGGCACCATTCTGTAATTCTATCTATGTCCTCTTGAAGTTGAATTCGGTCTGTGTTATTATTTACAATTTTGGATATCTTTAAGTCATCTGCGTACAATTCAAATTCGGAGTTACGGATACAGTACTTAATATCATCTATAAACATAATAAAAAGTAATGGGCCAAGGTGCGAGCCCTGTGGAA